TGATCAATATTACTTATTGTTCCGTTGTGTTTTACTTATTAAGGTGTGTTAAGTATTGTCTTCCATGGTTATATATTAGATAAGAGTTCAACCACTCTGTTAACGGCTGTACTATCTTTAAGTGGATAAACTTCTGGCCATCTTGCAAAGCGATCGATTACCGTAAGTACGAAAGTGCAACAAAGTGACGATGTAAGAGGCCTTACCATGTCAATATGTGTATGCTTAAATTGTATAGGAGGATATCAAATTTACTAAAGGGTGATTTTGTAATGTCTTTGAACTCCAGTTTAATGACAACGAATGCGGTGTAGAAGATTTTGTTGGAATCAGGCTAAAAATATTTTTTGTCCAACCGCTTTCTTATAAGCAAAGTGTTCATGTAAAGTTATAGAGGATTCATTCAAGGTATTTCATGATATTATTTTATATCGCCGTATCGGTGTTATTTCACTATCATTTTCTAATGAAATATAGAATTCATTATTCAAATTCTTCATCTTCGGATTTCTCATTTATATTGGAACCTTTATTATTGCTGTTATGAAAAGAATTTATTTCTGGAATTTAGGCGTGTAACATCTAGCGTTACGAGATGATGGGTGAGACTCGTCAACCGTAACTTTGCTCAGACTTAATTAATAAGATTAATTACTTCAATCCCCGGACTCTAAATTAATCTAGTATGGTATAAAAATGAAAAATCAAAAAATATCTACGAAGTTAATAAGTCATGTAGTTTTATATTCGCCCATATCATGCATAATCACCGCTATACTTGTTATTGATTAGATTTTACTACAAAATCAACTTACATATTTTGAAAATTTAAACAGAGTCATTAAACAACGTGTTAACCTACAAAAGTTTAAGTAAGTTTCTCGCTTTTAGAGTTGCTGTAGTTGCTGTGGTTGCTGTAGTTGCTGACCACCTACACGCCACACAACTAACAGCTATTTTTGTCTGGTTACATGAAGCGCATCGACAAGAAAATTCGGCGAAATTCTATCCTAGTTATATCCAGTTCAGTTCCACCTGATGAAACTTCGAAATTAAGTTTAGCGATTTATTTCAACAACTGAGAACATTGTTTGAATTTCGAACAGTTATCAGTTTCTCAGAACTTAATTTTACTAGAATTTAATGCGTGATCTAAAAAAGCAGATAAGGTATTAAACGAAAAAAATTGTTGGTCATCTCTGTTAAAATATCATTTTCCGAAAGCAAGAACTTTGCGATTTTTTATTAAGAAAATAAAGTATTATTTGTTTTATTCCGACATCCCAGCTCTTCTTAATGACACTTAATAACTTTAGGTGTCACGTTGTATAAATCCAGCAAGTTAAATTGGCGATTAGTTCTAGATACCTCACAAATAGTCTCACAAAAGCCAAGTCATGTAATGAGGAATTTCTTGTAACTTTGTTGATTCTGATAACATGAATCTAATAAGATTTAAATTTGATTTGATTTGCCAACAATAATAATACATAGATTAACATCTTGAAATGTAGATTGTTTGGATCGCCACTCTCCATATCTTAATGTCCAATAATGTCACGTCAAATAATCTTAATTTTTGTTCATCATATCGTATAGGCGTCATGTTAGATACCACGTCGGATGTCACGTCGGATATCATGTCGGGATTTTAATCATGTCGGAAATCACATCAGGATAACGCTACACAGTCATCCCCAATGCCTTTGTTTATTATTGAGATCTCCAATTAACATTATATTAGTCTCTATTATTTAAAATATTAATTTAAATTTATCACCAATTTAAATTTCATTTATCTATTTGTCAGTACAGGATAATTGTATTACAAATTTTTAAAAGTTTTCTTTTTATTAGGTTTTGTAATGATGCAATGATTCTTATGCAATGGCAACGTCGTCTTGTTTTGGTACTATTTTTTATTAAATCAACTAAAAAATTATGACGACTCAGTGTGGTTTAAAAAAAATTACCTTTATTCTTCATTTTTAACAAATGAATCATTATAACATGAAACAATTACTTTTTTATTATAAACCGGTTTCAAACACTTCGTTTCTACTTCTAGACAAACAATTGGCTGATTTATTATAGATACACACACTCTGTAACATATTTTCGTCAATCTGGCAGCGTGAATACCAGTTAAGACAACTTGAAGATTCGCAATTGGTTTATGGTTGGTTCAATCCATTTTTCTGGGAAATTTATTTCTCGTCAATAATTATAATATGCTGGTGCTCTCTCATGTTGGAACCAACACTTTAATCATATTACTACATGAAACATCACTGAGTAATGGAAATGGTAAATTGTCACTTAAAAATTGAAGATACAAGTTCGAAATAAATCGGCCATGTAGAATGTGCGGGTCCACGACATTGTTATTTAATAATTCATCTCAAATGTTTATTTACTATTGTCTTTAGTGTGTCCTTTTGCATCTAAATGGGGGATTTATCTTTTCATTCATGTAGGTTATGCGTATTTAGGATATCTGTCTGAGTACATATGGGTTTAGTACTCCAGTTTTTGCATTAGAATGCAAACGATTTAGAAATGTTTCTGCATATGCCCTAGCTGCAGCAATTATAGTGTTATTACACGTACCCTAATGTTTTTAATATATCAACATAATCTCTATTATTGCATCTAACAGCCAAGTGACAGATTTTTGATGGTCTGCGATTTACGATTTTATATTTTCTCTTTCTGCGTCTCAGTGTAATGATATTGTTGTTCATTCCATTTGATCAACAATATGACATTCGACTCTAAATTTGTAACTTTTGACACTTCTGTCTACTCAACATTTTTCAAGTGAGACAAATTTGTAAACAAATAATGGAAATAAAAACTGTATCCAAAGTTATTTTTATTGTGATTTTTTAGTTCATCAATCATGGTTTAAATTTGCAAAAGTTGTTTGATATTCTGCATGAATGAACTTTACGTATTTAGTCGAACCTAATATGTATTCCTCGTATGAATTGTTTGCACGAGTGTCGCCGCTAGTACAACCATCGATTTAGCATAATTTAGATCTAGCTCAGGTACGAAATTCTGCATAAATTTAGATTGTAATTTGTTCATCAATCGTTTAAGTTTAGAATAATAGTCCGATATATCAAATTCATCGTTATTAGCAGGAAACACTTTGACTGAAGGTATCGGATCACCACAATAATCTCATTAACATTTTTAGAACGTTCTTTTCATAGAACGTAAATAAAGTTCTTAGGTTTATATTGACAAAATATTCATGTTTATTTTATTTATTTATTTAACTAAATAATATATAAAGAAAAATACAACATGGAATCACTGTAAGTGATAACTTGTGATAAGTAGCTACACGCAAACTGTACAAGAGCAGGTTAACACATAATTTGCAGAATACTAATATAACAGATAAATATGAAGTAGAATGTTTCTGGCAAGAAAAGAACAAACATAAATCCCACAAACCGTCGTTCTATGAAAAAGTAAGAGAACTAGTAGACATAAAAAGGAAAAGCTATCTAACTTACAAAAGCCCACCAACAGAAGACCAACGTACTGCATATGTGGAGACTAGGAATAGGGTAACTCAAGAATATAAGCTATTAAAAGAGATCAGTGGAGTAAATCATCCAGTTACATGACCCAAAAAGCAACTCGAAAGATATGAGAGTTATTTCCAATACCTAACTATATAGTACTGAAGAATCAAAAAAGAATAAAAATATGAAACAACGGAGAAAATAATAATCAGTGAAGAAGAGCGGGAAGAAAAGCGGAGGAAATTAAAAAATATACTTAACGAGCGAGAAGAACTCAATAGAAATTTGATGGTTAGCTACCAAAATGTTGGCACTTAAACACAAAAAGGGACAAAAGACCTCCCCGGAAAACTATAGAGGGACCCTTCTCTGCAGAACAATGTACAGTTCACATCAGACGCATTATTTGTTATCAAACAGCTAAAAATAGTTAATACAATGTAACAAACCCTTTTATATCATGATGTTACGAATGCACAGCAAGATAAGAATTTATAAAACTTGCTTAAGGCCCGTTATGACACACGGAATAGAGACACGTGAAGATACGAGCAAAACCAAGAGTATATTAAGAGTTGCCGAAATGAAAAGATTGAAAACTATCATGGGTAAGACTATAGTTGTCCGCATAAGAAATGTAGACATCATGGAGCAATGTGGTTTACTAGATGTGGTTAGATGAGGAGATAAAGAAGAAGAGAATGAATGAAAGTACATTACCACGTATAGTATAAGAGACAAAACCAGCAGGTTCGAACACTGGGAAGACCATCCAAAAGATAAAAGAATAGCTGAAAATTCACATCCCAAGACACACTTCGGCTACGATTCAGCATTCAATAGACCAATAGATCGAAAACAACTGGAAGAAGATTTGGGTTGTATTTTAGGGTTGCATTTGGTTCGACGTTGCAAGTTTCAAGTTATATTTATTATAATTTTACTCTCCATGTAGATACTAAAACATCATTACATAAATTAAAAATTGATCTTGATAAATTCTTTCATTCATAATCACGTAAAACGTAGACATGAAACAAGAAAAAGGGAACCAGAAGTTCCATTTCACATTCTACGGAATAAATTTTATGCAGATTTTTAAATTATTCGTAGAACACAAACATATTTCTTAAAAACTATAAGAGATTTTTCAAAACGTTTTTGTTTGTTTAATATTAGACACTTTGAATAATGTTCCCGTTTTAACTTATCATATAAATTTTATGGCTTTAAATTGTTAACGTAAAACAGTAAAACTTAATTAAAAAGTTTTAATGACATGGTGAAGGGTGCAAAAACGTTAATTTGTCGTTTTTCGTTAAGGATGTTGGAGATTAAATTGAAAAGTTCCCTAATGAAAACTCATTGTTGGCAGAGTAGTTATCACTTTACGCGAAACTGAATTCGATTATTGTGGTAAATAAATAAACAATTAACGTTTCGTCTATTTCGTTTCAGGATAATGGAAGAGAAGCTTTGGATCTCACAGCTTCGCCGATGCGAGTTCCGGCTGGACAACAAACAAGAAATAATCATCCACCGCCAATGGTTATACAAGGCGATTTTCGTAAGGTAAAAAATATTTATTACATTTTTGAGCATATTTTTAAAATATTTTTTTTAAAGGTGTCTGGAATTAGCTCGGAAATTTTTAAGCAGATAGAGACTGTAGAAAACGATCATGATGCGTCCACGGCGGCCGCCTTGGAGGTAAATTATTATTATTACCACTCAATTACTATAAAATTACTATCATCACTAATTAATTTCATTTTAACGAAATAAAACCGTTATTAAAAAGTGGTGGATGCGCCGGAGATATTACGCGAATCTTGTTTCGTATACAAGACTTAGCTTTTTCGGTTTATTTGGTAAGAAAACTTTATCACTTGACCGGAAAAGTTGGCGAAGACACTGGAAAAGACGTATAGTTATTAATACCCTCCGTTGAGCGTCCGTTCAATTACCGGGATACCGTTTCCCCTCTAACTTTACCGGAAAAACAACCACCACGAACAGTGCTATAACGGCATTAGTTGGAAATTTTAGTTACCAGCCAGTTTCCCCCTTTCTCTCTATCTTTTCCTTTATTAAGGTACTAATTAATGGTTTCAACGCAAAGCGAACAAAAACTATTCTATCGAATACGATTCTATTGAACTATTTTAATTAGTGTTACAGATTTTACAGACAAATTTTTTTTAAAATTATTTATAGCACGTGGAAAGACGTGGTGAGATGATAGTAAGGATTTTGGATTCGAGGCATTTAGGAAGATCGGCAACAGATGCGGCAAAAAGATTCACTGCGATGCAAGATGCAAAACACACTGTACAATTTGTTGAGATTGTTAAAAGACCAGGACAAACTCTCGGATTATACATAAGAGAAGGAAATGGAATCGATCGAAGTGATGGTGTTTTTATATCCAGAATTGCTTTAGAATCAGCAGTTTATAACAGTGGATGTCTTAAAGTAAGCCTAAATTTAACTTTTATTCTTTCAATTTATTTAAATTATTTTAATTTATTTTTGTTTAGGTTGGAGATGAAATTTTAGCTGTAAATCTCGTAGATGTAACTCGAATGAGTTTAGATGACGTGGTAATAATAATGTCGATTCCAAGAAGACTTGTTTTGGCTACTCGGCAACGTAAAGGTGGTAAAGGTGGTCAAGGATCGCCGAGTGTCCAACCAAGAGCGGAACATAAACCTCCACCTGTTGTTGTAATAAAACGAGATCTTCGCGATGATGAAGCTGATGAAGTTGATCATGGAAAAGATTCAATGCGGCAAAGACACACTGGGGATGGTCGTGAAATGAGTGAATCGAGGTCGAGACTTGGTTTGGGGTTAGGTCTTGGGCCATCATCAACGATGGATTCAAGTCGAGGTGGTTCTTCATCGCAAGATACCTCAAACGGACTCGATTTATACTACAACTCCAGACCGCCTGATTCGAGTAACACCTGGGGTTACCAACCTCCACCTCCAGTTATTACTGAGCAACCGAAATCGAATATCCAACATTTTCAACCGTACGAAAAAAATTACCCAAACACTTTGGAAAGTCTTGCAGAAAAAGTGCATTCATTTGGTTTGCCACCAAATCGTCGAATGTCTGCCGGTGGGCAACCGCTTCCTTCCAGAATATCCTCGCAACAAAGTCCTTCCTCACATTATTACATCCAACATTCCGGTACCGGGTCTAGGAGGATTATGCCGAGATCCGGTTCGGATCAACACCTTCCGCACACTGAATACTCCGGTGATTATACGAGCATCACCCAAGCCGGACGTCATAGCCTGTTAAGATCCAGTTTAAAATCTGGTTCTACACTTAGTAGATATAACCAAAGATACGTTGTGGATCCATCTTCGGCGATATCCAGTCAAATGTCTCAATCGAAATATGGTGCTCCTTCGACGTTAACAAGACGAAATAGAAGCAGTTTGGATTATTCTAGCGATACTGAAGCGACTGTTGGACCTAGATCAAGTAGTTATTACTATTATAGGTAATAAACATGTTTTTCTTTGAGGTGTTAAGGTTTATATTTTTATTTTTTTTTGCCGATAGAAATCAAACAGCGGCACCTGTTCCACATAGTACCATACCAACATTAGGTAGGAATAACTCGATGACATCGACTGATTTAAGCACCAAATTTAATTCTTTGCCAAGGGATACAAGAGGCACTTCAAGGTAAGTTGATGTTTATAAAAAACTTATATACATGGACGTAGATTTGAACAATTTTTGTTACAACCGTATAGTAAATGAACGATCTTAGAAACGTTATTTGCAAGACTTTACTACTGATTTAAATGCATAGGTTGAATTGTTAAATAATGAAATTGTTAATATTTTCTATTACAATTGACATTAGGTTAGTTTACTTTATGATAATTGAATCGCACAAGGGTAGACCGTCAACGAATCGAACCGGTTTTTGCTACTAGTTTTCTACTTCTACATAGTCTTATTAAGTTTCGATATACACTTACTATTGCATTCCTTTTTGCTACAAGCAATCAGTTATGTCTGCGACCAATGTGGAAAAAAATCTTGGCTCCCCATTCATATCAAATGGCAATTCTAGAAATTTTTGCAGACTATTTGCAAACGCCTTTTTGATGTTGTGTTCTGGTTCTTTGAATATAAGTAAACTTTTATCTGATTATTTGAGTTTTCTAATAAGGACTATATGATACAAGAATTCTGTGGGATCACTTTCTTTAACACAGTTACATCGTGTTCAATGATACAGCAATTTCAACTTTATAAGTTGACATCTTTAAGCGTTGTACCAATTTCACGATATATTTTTAAATTTTGCTAATTAATATGAACATATGAATGCACCCGAAATCTAATAGCAAAAATCGAACTTATACCAGAATGAAAAACTACTTTCTAGAAATATTTTACTCTTGTCGAGAAAAACTTCTTTAAGAAATACTTTAAAAACTCACGCAAACTTGAAAAGAAACTAGGAAAGAAGTAAAACACTTTCATTGACGGATAACGACTGTATTTTAGAAAATCACGAAGTAGAAGGTTAAAATAATTATTCTCTAATTTTTTTCAGACTTGGTATGACGAAACGTTTTGGTGATAGAACAATGGGTCTTCTGCAAGATGATGCAGATGGGAATTTATCGGCACCTGAGATGCCTTCGATAAGGCAAAGAGGTATCTTCGCGTGACGTTTCCTGCATTTCCTCCCTAAACCGATAAGTACACCCAAAAGAAAAGATAATACCAAAAAAAAAGATCAAAACCATTTACACTAAAAAAGAGAAAATAATACAAAAACGCCTCCATCACCACCACCACCACACTGTTGTAAAAAATATTTATTATAAATAACACAGCCATAAACACATTTTCACATAACCGGCACTAGCTTTAGCCAGTTTCCAATTTAATCGGTTTTTGGAGTTGATTACGGCTTGCGCTTTTCCTCTTAGGGGCTTTAGCTTTAGCTTTTATTAAAATAACTTTTGTTTTTCGTTTCCATTCGTTTCATTCTTCTTCGTTTTGTTCTGGTTCTTTTTTTTTTTTTTCTGTTTTTTGCATCGACTTTTGCGTCTTCGTTTCTTTCATATAATCCGAAGGACGGGTACCTTCGTCACCTACTATCTTCACTTCAGATGAATACAGACAATGGCTGAGCCGAACACCTTCAACTTCCGCTATTTACGAACAAATCAGGGCCTCTAGGGACGTTCTTAATCAACAGAGAGCGGCAAGATTTACTTATAGCGCGGAAAATATTCATGCTGCACTTAAAGATGTAAGTGAGGAAAAAAAATGGTTTTCAGAAAAAAATATTTGTGATTTTTTTAGAGTGATGGTGGATATTATAGTTCGTATAGAACTGGGGCGACATCTACTTTGGATAGACATTTTACAAGGACTCATCAACAGGTTCCTGCGAGATCTTTATCATCTCAACATATCACTGGGTCGACATCAGGTAGACACCAATAAAGAATTTATTATATTCTAAATTTATTATAATTGTTATAATTGCTTTTTGCTGTTGTCTCTTTTCTTATATTCTTTTGGACTTTGCAAAGTGCACTGTGGTCATTTCCATTTCATACCATAAAAAATCAACTGTTATCAATCCAACTGTTATCCAAATTAATTCATACTTTTATCTAACTTTTCCAATTAATATTTTATCTTATTTAGCTTTGGCTTCATCGAGATCGCCATCAATGAGAAGAATGCGGCAACTTTTGGAATTAGATTCCGTTCGGACTGGCGCTCCAAGTCCAGTTCCAACACCAAGTGGAACTTTGCCGAGAGGTCAAAGACAATTGGATATAAATCCTGCTGGTTGGAGATTATTTTAATATTTTTTATTATTAATTTTTTCAAATTCATCATAAAAATGTTTTTTTAGAGTTCCTCAAATACAAAGTTGATAAAACTGGTGGAGGTGGGTTATCAAGTTTAACTTTAGGACCAGGTGGACAATTAACATCTTCGGTGCTTGAAGAACCAGTTAGTGGTATGTTATGGGTTCATCTTCTCGCTGGTCGAGGATTAAGAGCTTCAACTGGGACTTCAACAGCTACAACTCCTGTTACGCCAAGTGGTGGAACTCCAACAATACCAGGTTAATTCATTATTTTTAAAGTTTTCTTCAAACATTTTTATTTTTATATAGGTTCTACTGGTCTTCGCGATTTATATTGTGTTCTTGAATGCGATCGAGTCCATAAAGCACGAACAGTGGTTCGTACTGGGGATTTAATTTTTGATTGGGATGAAAGTTTCGAACTTGACCTAGTAAATAACCGCGAATTGGATTTGTTGATATACTCGTGGGATCCTCAGTATAGGCACAAGTTATGTTATAAAGGATCCGTACATTTACCTTCTTTATTGAAATCGGGTCCTTTGCATCAGTTAGCATTGAAAATCGAACCTAGGGGAACTTTATATTTGAGACTTCGACACACTGACTCACAGAGTTTGTACAAAAGACGAGGTCTATCCAATTTAACATTATCAAGAACTACACCGTTATTTGGAGTTGATTTAGAATCTGTGGTAAATATTAAAACATTAAATATATGTTGATAAATCAACTTTTTTTTTGATTTAAAGGTTAGTCGTGAAAATAAAACCGGTGGTGTTCCTGGAGGAGTTCCAACCGGATTAGTTTCTGCAGGTCAACAAATTCCTATTATAGTAAGAAGATGTGTTGAAGAAGTTGAAAGGCGAGGCTTGGATATAATTGGTTTGTATCGATTATGCGGGTCAGCAACGAAAAAGAGAATACTTCGAGAAGCATTCGAAAGAAATAGTAGATCGGTTGATTTAACTCCGGATAATGTTCCGGATATTAATGTTATAACGGGAGTTTTAAAGGATTATTTAAGAGAACTTCCAGAACCACTTTTTACAAAGTGTTTGTATCAAATGATGGTGGATGCTTTAGGAGTTTGTTTGCCAGATGATCCAGAAGGAAACGCTAAATTAATGTTTTCAATTTTGGATTGTTTACCAAGAATAAATAGAGTATGTAAATAATTTTTAATCAATAACTTTTTAATAAATTTTTCTTAATTTAAAGGCGACATTAATTTTTCTTATGGACCATTTGGCTTTGGTTGTATCAGCATCAGATCGTAATAAGATGTCGGCTCAAAATTTGGCAACTGCTTTAGCTCCTCCTTTAATGTTACATTCTGCGATGGATGCTATCACGTCGGGTTTGAAGAGTGATTTGGATTATACACAACCGATAAGCGTTCTCAAGTATTTGCTTCAGATTTGGCCAGTTCCAAAGCATCACTCAGGTACTGTTTCGTTTACCGACCGGATAACGTACGTATTCATTACTGATAGTAATTCCCAAATGAAAAGATACGCATCTGCATGCTCTTCTGCTTGATACGTTAATTTTTTTATTATTTATTTGGCATGCACGGGTAGAGTACTAAAAAAATATTTAAAGAAAACCTTAGTGTTAGAAAGAGGCGAATAACACAAGTCGTTCATTTCTTAGTTAGGCAAGCAAAAATATCCCTTAAAAGTCCTTTCATCTTCTTCTTCTTTCCGTTATCATGTTCATCATCATACAAATTTACACAAAATCCTTCTTCTATGCGTTTTTTTACGATTTTAATTTATTGTGTTTTGTTTAATTTCTTCTTAAAAATCCGGAAATTTTCTTAACTCGATTTTTGTTCTTGTCGTTTTGGTATTGAGAGGTCGTACTTTTCAGATAGGTCGTCGCGCCAAGCCACTAGGGCCGCGTGGAGACAGTCGCAGTGCGTCGCAAGTGGGCAGCATGCAACCGGGGGTGCCCCATCAGCAACATCAGGTTCAGCAGCAGCAGCAGCGCGAGCAGTCTCGGGCCTTAGCGGGTCCGTTAGTTCCTCCTCCTCGCTCAGCAGCATTGGGCCAACGAGGCCCTGCGCCACAGGTCCTATTACAGCAGACACTAGTAAGTTACAAAACTTTTCGCGTTAAAAAGTAGGATTTAGTATAATTTTACTTTGATTATGCTAATTACGTTCAGATTTTGTGTGATCAAAAAGAACCTAGTGAACGAATTATTGAATGATTTACATATTGTTTTAGCACAGCCTATCTAAAAGTGTATTTAAATCTTAACAACGAACATGATTTCACTATTACAATTTAAATACTAAATTAGACGTAATTGGCTGTCAGCCAATATGAAAGTTGGAATGTTTATTAAAAATTCTTAGCATCTCTTCAATTTTATAATCATAAAGTTCAGTATTAAAACTATTGTAGGTAAGTTATAGATCAAACCGGCATCGGCATGAACATACGCCAAAATGATCTGGTTATTTGGTCTATCCAGCACTTCAATTGATATTTCTGGATCTTTATGTACTCTGAGAGCATTGGCCTACAATCCTTCTCAATATCTATCTTTCGAAGACGTCTATGTTTTTGCTAAACGTTTGCCAGTTTCTGAGTTAGCGTCATGGTCTTTTAGTTCCTATGTATATCCTTAGACTTTATTGTATAGGCTATTTCATAGTAAGCTTTGTTGGGCAGCAGTATTCTTCTACGTATTTCCGCAGCCTAGCTGCCATCCATCGCCAGCTTCATTCCAAGATATACGAATTGTGAGACCACTTCCGTGTAACCACCCACGACTCTGCCTGGCCTAGTCTGCATCATTATATTCGCTTTTTCTATATTTGTTCTCGGCTCCACCGGCTTAACCACGTCCTTCATTCATCTATAAGTTTGTTCTGTATCCCTATGGCCTAAGATGTTGTCCGCATAGGCCACCAGCTGTACTGATTTGTTTGTCAGTAGATTCGATCTTCCTATTTTCATGTTTCGTATGGCATGTTCTCGTGCCATATTAAATAATGTTGGTGCCAGCTCATCCCCTTCTTTTAGTCCTTGTGTAATATTGAAAACTTTTGTCAGCTGTTCTTGTATGTGTACAAGCTTGTGTATTACTTAATGTTTTTCGTATCACTCTTACGATCATGATTGGTCAACTCACACCGGATGCGGTCTGCAGTATTTACTTAGTCGTGAATAATTGATCTATGGTGGATTTTTCTTTCCGAATTCCTCGTTCATACTCCCCTATTATTTTTTCTGTATACTCCTGTAGTCGCTGGTTCAGTATGAATGTAAATATTTTGTATCTCTTATAATTTTTCACCCTTCTGGTAAATAGGACATATTATAGACATATTACACTCTTATCATATCCTCATACATTCTTTGGATTAGGTCATATAGCCTATTGACCAAAAATTCTGTTTTTTATAACTATCGAGTATATGTTGTTAATCCCTGGCGCCATCCATTGCGAGAGCCTAAATGACATCCTTTATTTCAACAATACGTGGTGTTGTAATTGGGAGTCCACTGAAGGTTTCTTCGTGTTTTTGCTGCTATTACAGACTCCTTCATTTTCGTCTTTCTGTTTCCTCCATCAGCACAAGTTATTCCTTCAGTTTCTTTTTTGTTAGTCTCCACGTTGCATTCATATCCTCGATTATTATCTTGGTGTCATTTTTTGGGGATGAGTCGATTTCTAGTTGATTACGATGTTACAGCTACGCGACTGGTTTCTCAGTTTGAACATTCTTTCACTTATGTGTTGAAAGGCTTAGGTGTTGATCTTATTCTGTTGTCCACTATGAACGCCATTCTCAATTCCTTCGGGTCTACTTGTTTCTGTATAGCACAGTGTAAGCGTTAATATCTCCGATTCCATCACCCAGCCATCGGGATTCCTGTATTGCCGTTATTGCTAACTTATACTTTTTTATTTCATCCAGCAAGGACTGCTCGGTTTGAGCTTGCGATTTGTTTAGTATTCTTACATTCCGTATACATTTCTCATAATCCTCTTTCGTTTACATTTCCGTCGTGAATCGTCTCGTCTACTCCGAAACTTTATGTTAGGTAACCATACTTTTTTATCAGATTGGGTTTTTGGGCCATTTCTTCTCCTTCTTTCTTGGTTCTTGTCAGTCCTGGACCTGTCTCCCATTGGGATTGATTACCGCAGCCTCCCACAGGGTTGTTCAGAATTGAGTAGGAGAGGTTAGGAGGTGCTCTCAGCATACGGTACCGTATATTCACTTCATAACTCCATTTGAACATCGAATTCAATTTTTTCTTTTGGTCCCCAGTTTAGATCTATTAATCACCACTAGTAGTTCTACTGTTAAAACAACTATTCTTTTGTTCTAAGCACTAATAATTGGTTGATTTGTAAGGCCATTTTGTTTTAATCTGGTTGGATATGGAACTCGACATTTTTAAGTGTAATCGTAAGAATTCTTCCTAGATTTTGCTAATCTTGATCAACATTCTATGAAACAACCTACTATTTTGGTGTTCTGTATCACTTTTGGAAAAGATGGCTTGTATTCTTTCCTCTGTATCTCTAATAATGCAGAGTAGAGTGTCTTTTAATTTGTAGATTGTCCAAATTCTTAGTACACTTTATGGATACCTTCATAAAGGTTGGAAATAAGAGTTGAAAAGGTTTCATGGCTGCTGCTATAAGAAATAATATTAGAAAGTTATGAGTTTAGCTCTATTATTATTGCATTATTTATTTAGTAATTTTGTAGACATTATACATAATATATGATTTGTTTAGGGCCCATCATCAGTAAGCAGAGGTCCTTACCGTCCGCTTTCGCCTCGGGTCGGCCCAGCGGTGTCGGGAGTGGTGGGAACATCGTCGTCGTCGGTGGCAGCGGCGTCGGTCTCGTCCGTTCTTCGGCCACGCCAGGTGATTGTCTCATCGCCAGGATCCCCAAGCAGTAGTAGCGGGGACAGTCAATCCGGTTCTGACTCGGTGAAGCAGCAGCAGCAGCACTGCCTTCCGCCAAGTCGCGGTGCTTCCCCGGCCATTCGACCGTCGCCCTCCTCTTCCTCCGTTAAATGCTCGCCAAAAAATTCCCCATCGATATCCAGTTTAAGTCGCGCTTCACCTTCGATTCTTGCGGCAGCTTCCAGATCGGGAAGTCCAGCGATGCAAGCGAGTTCTGCAGGATTAGCTGTTACGATGGCTACGACAGCACCAACTTTCACTACCCTCACTGGTCTTCATTCGACCATTTCTAATATTAGCACCACCGCTAATAATTTGTATAGTTACACAACGCAACAACCGACTACTTATGCTAGCACTAATCCGTTTTTAACCGGGGCTTATCTTCAGTATACACCAGGTGGTGGTGATCATTATCATCAAAAACAACAATTTCCGTTTTCCGATGTCTTCGTAACAGAACAACAAAAATACGCAACGCTTAATTCAAAATCATCGACGTCGTCTTATGATACGGGAAGTGATCAACAATCTCGATATAACACAATCGGATGGAAATACCCGGAAAAATCATCGTATTTAAGCGATTTAAATAAATACGGTGTCAAAACGACGACGACTATGTTGCAAGAAACTAGTCCTAGTCAACAACCGGGGAATCTTTTGGCAGTTGAAGATACACCGACACCAACGAGTAGCATAGAAACGGAGGACAGTAATACAAGGGAAGTAGGGGAAAAAGATGTTGAAGGAGACGGGGAACAAAGCGACTGAGCGGTTAGTAACTTATTTACAAGAAAAAATTAGTAAATCGTCTCTAATAAAAAAGAATTAAATAAAAAAACACATACATTATACACACACACGAGGTATTTATCGAGGAAAAATTTAAATGTAATAGAATTTATATACATATATGGAGATTATTGTATATGTCTGCTTTATTAGAAATCAAACTCGAAGACAAAAATTATATATATACATAAATATTAACAGAAAAATAAAAAATATATATTATATGATTATTATTATATTACATATTCTAGATGAATAGAATTGTTGTTATATATTTATTAAATGAATTGTGGTTATTGTTATTTAGAAATTAAAATTATTTTTTTATTTTGAAAATTATTATCAAATTTTCTTTGGGGATACATTTTTTAAGCAAAATACAGGTATAGAATGGATGCTTGTAAGTTGTTATAGGTATCTTTGGATAATTATTGCAACTGTTGATTTGATATTTTGCAAATTGATATAGGACGAAAACTCACTATTAAAGGAATAAAATTGTTTATTTAAAAATTTTTGATAAATTAGAGAATAACTACTTGAATATTTTTATTTTTATTTTTACAATTTAAGATAAATATTAAATCATTATTTTAGGTCCAAACATTAACTTACTTTTCAAAATGTCCTAAACATATGATTTTGAACATTTGATTTTGACGCTAAAGGAGTACGAAAAGAATAGGAGTTCTACCTAAGAAGTGAGAAATATCAACTTAATGAACATCTTAACTTGCACTTTAAAAATCTAAGATTGGATCTTGATGTTTTTCATCCTGACGTATTAAAAGATATAATCGAAAGCAGCGTAATAAATAAGGTGAAGTTAAAAAATCGTATTGAGGTTGAATTTATGTTTAATCTAAAGGTACAATGTCTCTTAGGTCCGTTACTACCATCTTTTAGTTAAATTTATCTTATAGATAAACACATCTACTAGCCAATCAGGGCGCGTAAAATAGCCGTAACCATGGTAATAATCCTTTAGATAGCTTAACCAGAAGATGGTAGTAACGAGCCTTAGTCTATCAGAAAAACCATACAAATTGGAGAATTTTTATTTTCAGTAATTCCTCGAAGATGTTTATAACGGATTGATCTACAACAATAAATTTAACTAAAGTATCAGACCTCATTAGACGTTTATTTTCATGAATAAAAGTCTAATTGTATATAATCCCCACTACCTTCACTAACTTTTTAAAGGACTACCTGATAATCACATTGATTACCAAGTAACCGTTTGAAATCAAAAAGATCCTGAGGACGGTATTTAAAATAATCAATTAATATAGTAATTATCTCCATTTAAAGTCTTTTGGTTATAATATCGTCTTCGATTTACTGCTCTAGATTTGGTAAGATCTACTTGAGATCCAATTGAGATCTCCTCCTGTCATAATTGCTCTAAAAGTAGGTAGCTAAAAGCAGTAACTTGACTTACTGCTTTCGAACCGGGGAAAGTTGCTACCGTTCCTATCACGCGATCTCGACGTAAAATTACTAAAAAAATGTTCGCTATAGAAACTAAAAACTGTTAAATGTTAACATGACCGCTGTGACACAGCACAGATCGTCCAAATACGCAAATCGCAGATGGATTAACAAATTTGATAATAATGATATTCAAATGAACATTAACAATACTTAGATGACTCGGAGAAGTGATTTGAAAATGCTATAACATACAAAATTCACCAAACCCGCTTCTCTCAGGTCCAAATAAATTAATTTCATTGTACAGATTGATAATTCTATAGAACGATTAAACTAAAGATGTAGTCAGTTCAGACATGACTTTGAGCTTAAAAGGTAAACCATTTGGACCAAGACATTTTTAGAGTCAACTTATTTCAGATGTTAAAGATTATGATTAGATTCTGGTTGGATTTTGGCAAAACCTCGAGATCAGGACATAAAGACAAAAATTAATAGTAAATATTTGGAGAAAAGTGGAAAGATGCTATTATATCCCATAGTTGGAATACGAGAAAGCCAAATATTGAGGAAATGTTTCGTGGAAATAGATGAGGAAAGATTTTAATCAACGATATTATTCTGAATAAGTTGCCTATATCCCAAGTCTACAGCCAATCGGATTACCAAGGTTAACCACGACAGGCTAACATTCTTCGAAGAGGACGATGTGAGTAGACATCATGTGATCAGACAGCATCCCTTAAGAAAAGACAATTTCTAGCAAGAACATATTTGAATGAAAAAAATCAAAGAAATGTGTAAATGAAGAAGAAGCTGGACTCAGAGAAAGTAATAAGTATGAACAAGTTGGTAGAACTGAATAATAGCACTGTATAAGGAAACACGTTTATGGAAATTATACAAAAAGAGGCTCCACGATAAAATAAACATGCTCATATTGACTCAGAACAACAAAGGTGAAGGATTTATGAAAATAGATCGAAGACAATCACGTTCACTTCTTTTTCTGGAGTACATAGCCTGATAGATTATAAAATTACTGCCTGGATTCAGCAATAATATCTGATACGAATATAAATAAAAAGCTGTTATTGCTTATCTATCTGAGTCTAAATATGCTTATATCCGGTGTTATCTTTCAAACATTTGATTGTAGTATGATTATAGGCTGTCTTTAGGTTCAATCAAATATCAGAATTTCCCTACATGGCGCACTTGGTGTTGTAGCTGATAAATTGAAAAGAAAGATAAGAAGATAAGATAAGAAAGAATATATTTAAAAAGCATTAGTTATTGACACTTTTTGGCAAAAAGGTTTTGGTTTTTAGGGTTTGTAATTATTCGTACATGGATAGGAGATATCTATAGCTCTTTTGTTCACCTAACTTTTTTTTAAGTGATATTCTTGTAATAATTTTATTATTTTAAATAGAACTTTTTCCTTCTTTCTAGTTTTAATGGTAGAAGTATATTTTCGGGCAAGAACATCACTTTTTTAAAACGGTAATGATTTAATATGCTTTTGTGTGTTCATTAATCCTCTAATTTTCTTCAATTTGATTAAAATTATATTTCATTTAATGTGGCTTTCTCTACCTCATTTAGTTCATAATTATTAGATTCAAATCCATTGACTTTTTTTTTGATCACTATTTGCGATAAAAAATGTTACTGGGTTTGTATAAAAAATCTAAGATTTCTCATTTTCCCACATCTACGTCATCAGGTGTTAGATATTTTGTCTTAAATCTTAGATCTAACAATCATCTAACTTCCTTTTCATTTCTACTTACCATCCTTAATTGGTTCAAGGATTCTATTTATAAGAATCACAAGTGGCATAACTATAGACATTCAGGCAGCATCTAACGATAGTTTATTCGTGATACTATAAAACCATTTTAAATCCTAGTATCACTTTCAACCTTTTAAAGTAATCCATGATAAAATATGCTGCAAAACTTAATATTGAACTAGATTTCGAAGGGTTTGTTCAAATATTCGTTATAAACTGGTTACAAAAACAACCGCAGATTTGACTATTTCGTAACTCTTTAGATGTAAATGTTGTCAGAAAATACGTTTTCGACTTTAAACTATATTTATTGATATTGGTGAAATCTTTCAGCAATAAATATGGCTAGATCTGTCACCCATAAATATAGCAGCATTTCTACAATTATCAGATCCATAAATGCTTAGCTATCCTTTGTGACACTTTATGGTCGTCAGGTTACCTTGCAAATTTTGCTGTTTGCTGTGTTAGCTATGCTAGGATAGCAGTTTGAGAGACACTAACTTGGTTCAAGTACAATAATACACTTACAGTACACCATAACCACACACATAGTATAAAATTTATGTTGCACCTTAGAAATAAGAAACGCCTCCTGTGAAATTACTTAAGAATCTGATGTTCGCAATAAACAGCTCGTATTCAAGAAATAGTGTTTAAGAATTTCTGCTGCTTTAAAAATATGAAGATTATAATAAGACAAGAGAATTACAAGGAGAGGAATTAGGATGTGATTGCTGTGGTATGATGAGATACACAGTGAATAATCAGTGATTTTTAATTGGCCGAAAGAGTTTTGCCATAAATGCCTGAAAGACTTACACTACACAGTATAAATAACACCAAAGAACAGATTTTAAGGTGAATACCTTAAAACCTTCTTCCACATCGCATCACACTGTATCTCGAATATCTTCTTGATGGAAACCTATTCTTGACTCAAGGAGATTAAATATTATACAGAAGCAAATCCATGACAATGAATTTAGAGTTAGCATAATTAAGAAAATTAATCAAGAAAATATCTCAACTACTTTACAAAAGCTAACTAGAAATTCCACTAAGAAAAAGGAGAATAAGACATGATAATCAATAAAATATGCTTACATTCCTTTAGACCAAGCTATATTAACCACACTGGATTTAAAATAAACATGCCTAGACATCGAAACTGTGAAGTTATGCTTACGCTAATGATTTGAAAATGTTTGATTATTTTGCAAAATGTGCTGGACATTATACGGTGCTTATTATGATATCCGATTGTTGTGTAGGGATTGCGTCTATACACAGACTTCTGTTAATTGTGATTTTGTTAACTTTGTAAGCTTTGTTGTAAATTAATGTAAATTGGACATTTTTTAATATTATTTTTAACAATATTTTTCTGAAAGACTAATTGACCACTAATTTAATCAAATTTAGATAAGACTAAGATAATATGTTTAATTAGAAAACCCAGAAAACATTTTGAATAATATAATTATTAAATAAATTTTATATATTCCTCAAAAATGGTGATACCAAACGACTCTAAGAATAAAAATGGTTTTTTTTGGCCTTATATCATTGTGAAAATATTAAATCTCTAGAACATCCATGGGATACCTGTATATGTAATAATTTTATTGTTATGATTAAGATGTCAAAATTTTATTTAAATTTATAAAATAGGAGCGTGCTTATTTGTAAAAGAGCTTCGCTTTTTAATTTTAAATTAATTAAATTAAAAATGATTTCTTTATTACAAAAAATCTTCCTCTTATTATGATTTCGTAGATGAATTATATGGAAATAAACCAAAAAAACATATTGAATGACCTAATAATTGTTAAGGGCAAGCACAATTCTAATCCCACTTTGAAAAAAAAAGAAACGACTTAAATAATTCGTAATTAATTAATATTACGAGACAATTGAAAAAAGAAGCGATTTATATGAATATAAATTAATGAATAATTTAACAAAAAATGACTAGATTTATATAATAATATAT